AATTACTTATATGGGGTTAACAACATCGAGATCTATACCGATCACCAACCTCTTTCATTTTCCATTTCTCAAAAAAATCCAAATATCGAAATGAAAAGATGGTATTCTTTTATTGAAAGCTATTCACCCAAAATAATTTATAAGCCAGGAGCAACAAATGTTGTTGCGGACGCTTTATCAAGGATACAAATTAATAACTTAACGGAAAGCAATGAATCGGTCTCAGATCAAAATACTCAGCATTCAGCAGAGAGTAGTTTTGAGAATGTTATACAAGAAACCCAAAAACCCTTAAACCAGTTTAAGCAACAATTGCTAAAAGCAACGGGGAGGTATACAATACATGAGTCGATTAATGTATTCGGAAATACTAGACATATAATAGAGCATGATACTCCAGAAAATTTAATATCAATATTAAGAGAATATATTCCACCCAATATAACAATAGGAGTTCACTGTACTCTAGAAGATTTTTATAGAATTCAAAAACCACTTAAAGACAATTTTATAAATACATTTTTATACACTAAGACATTTGTCCAGGATGTCGAAGACGCTGAAGACAGATCCGTGATTATCACAGAAACTCATTGTAGAGCTCATAGAGGGCTTGATGAAAATTATAAGCAAATAACTAGACTCTATTATTGGCCTAATTTATACAAAAAGCTTAAGGAATTTATAAAGAATTGCACAATCTGCAATCAAAACAAATACAACAGACACCCAGTACAGATTCCTATCGGTCAAGCGCCTATTCCAAAAAGAGAAGGTGAAAATTTGCATCTTGACATATATTACGCCCAAAATCTTATATTCATTACTTGTACAGATTCCTATTCGAAATATTTGGTCGTAAAAGAAATCCCTAACAAACTAAATATAGAAAATAAAGTTTCAGAAATTTTACAACAATTTCCATTAGCCAAATCTTTGATGATAGATAGCGAACCAAGTTTCTCTTCATCCCAATTCAAATCCTTTGCTCAAAGAAACGGGATATCTCTATTCTTTGCAGATCCTCGACATAGTACGTCCAACGGACAAATAGAAAGGGCACACTCTACTTTAACAGAAATTGCTCGCTGCATTAAAGATGAGCTTAATTTAGTTGATTATTCCGAAATTATTATTAAAGCAGCACAGAAATATAATTTAACAATTCACTCATTAACCAACCAACGACCTTTTGACATACTATTTAATAAAATCAAACACGAAGATATGCCTAAATTATTGCAACAAGCTCAAGAGAAAATGTTGCATTTCCACAATAAAGATAGACAAAATAAGAATTATCACGTAGGACAGGTAATTTACGAAAAGAAACATGGGGAAAGAAACAAGCTAAATTCTAGATACAAAAAACAAGTAGTTAAGGAAAATCTCCCTAATAAACCGTACGATTCATAAAGATAATATAAAATAATTTGTTTCAAATTACAGATAATGATTTCAATAATGTACTTATTACTGCTGGTAGCTACAACCAAATCCGAAATTATGGATTACACGAACCATGATTTCCTTCTTTACAAGGATACCAAAGATGTTCTTATTTATGAATCATACGCAGATTTATTTCATATAACTAATATAAGTCTTTATAGAGATATAATTAATCTTGAAACAGAATTTCTGAAGAGTCACGACAGCAACAATTTGGGAAATATCCCACGATTTAAAAATTATCCAAATACTTATCTCCCAAATTATACCCAGTACATCGAAAAGAGGCATTAATGAAATAGGCACTATTTGGAAATGGATAGCGGGAACACCAGATCATGATGATTTCATAACTGTCCAAAATAAAATCGATGATTTAATACAAAATAATAACGATCAATACGTATTAATTCTAAAACATTTAAAGAGATAAAATCTTTATCTGAAGAATTCAAAACAGCCTTTAAAGATCAAGAAATTCCGCTTAGAAAATATCGTCTGCGTTTGCTTACTTACGATCTTATGAATTTAATGGACACAATTACACTCGCCAAAATCGATTTATTTAATACTAAAATTCTAAACAACGACGATATACAAGAAATTTATAAACACGAAAATAGACCTGTAGTTATAACAGACCTTTTGGATATATCTGAATTTAAAATCGCTCTGCATCAAGATCTTATTATAATTTACATAAAATACCCTATTATTACCGATCGCTGTGACGTTTACAATTCAAGATCCATTTCACATGATGATGGAAAATTATTAATTGATAATCACGTCGCAAAATGTAGAAATAAGTACTATGTAATGTCTAATTTTAAGACAGAAATATTTAACAATTATTGCACACTTAACCCAGAAGGTTCTTGTTTCACCAGATTACTAAATGGAGCAAAATCTTTTTGTAACAATATCAGAGAAAAAAATAAAAAAGTAGATGTAATCCAAGATGGAGCCATTTTTGCAAATGGAGAAAATACAGTTAATGACACTCATTTAAATGGGTCATATTTAATTACTTTTAATGGCACCTCTATAATTAATAATATTTCCTACACCAATGTAGACAATAAGATATTGGAATACATCACAGCTCGAAAATATACAGATTTTTTAATATCCGAATATATTATATCTAATGATTCGGAACTCTCATTTGATAATATTAACATACTAAATCTATTTATTCAAATTAAACAAACTCAAATACCAGTTACGTTAATATTAATCATATTAGCATTAATATATTAAATTATTATGATTATAATCAAATTCAGAAAATTTTTAATATTCAAACCATGGCAAATTCGTATAGAAATCGAACCAGAAAGCAATATTTCCAATATTGAGGTAAATAATACCCCCGACAATGAAAATACCCTATAAGAAAATATCATTGTCGAATTAACCAATCAATTACATTCAATATACCCAACAGTTCCAATGAATCGGGACGATTCAATTTAGAATGGGGGGAGTTATATGACACATTATTTAGGGGCTCTTACCCAATTTATAAACAACTTTGAGCCGAGAGCTAATTTCCAAATAACTCTGACAGACCCGAGATAAATCCGTGGTCAGCTATTTCTGCCAAGCAGGCCTTCAAATCATTCCCACCCAGATAAATTTCACGCAGTCCGAATCAAACGGATGCTGTAAACACCCAAACCGATATTGTAAACAATCGGAGCCCCAAGCGAGCCCTGAGTCCGCTAACGTAAACAAAAGATCCCCAAAGCGAGTCCCGAGTCCGCTAACGTAAACAAAAAGATACCCAAAGCGGTCCCTAAACTCCGCTAATGTAAACACCAATTTCCGGCCAAGATTGGACTTCGAATTTAATTGGCAAATTGCATCATCCTATTTTCCGACTCTCTTGAGTCATTCTCTTAATCAATTTTTGGGGATAAAATCTCTTAAGCCGAGGTTTGATTATTGATCATTGAACTAGAGAGCAGGCAGTCTGTTTTTGAGATCCGAATCGAGCAGAACAATAATTCGAGAATAAATACAAGAGCAGTGAATTAAATAAGTTCGACCTATTGTAAAATTGTAATAGTGAATAAGTGATTGTTAGAAATAAAAATAAATTTTTATAATCAATTCACTAGAGAGAAACTTAATTTGTATATAGGAAATATTTTGACACTACGCTTTGTTCGTAGAAAATCCCGCGATTAATTCATAGTAAGCGGTTCTGCTGAACGGATGTGCAAGTCTTTAATAGAAAAATTGCATAATTTCATTCATGCTTAATTGAATAGTGAAAAAGTACAGAAGCGAAAAGGTTCAATTTTTTGTTTCGCATTTTTCGTTTATAAGTCTCTACTTCAGTGTGCGCGTTTTAATTTCTTAATAATTTAACTTTAAAATTGGACCGCAGATAACATATGTATGTATTTAAGAGATGCCATTGAAAAGACAGGTATTCGAACGGAATTTCGATACAAGCTATCCGGCGAAAATTACAAAAAAAACAAGGAAGAACGCTATCTCAGCTAAATAGAGATATGCAAGTAGCAAAGCGAGATTAAAATGCGCCACCTACCGGTGGTATACAGATTTAAGCGTTATGAGCGTTAGAGTGGGTGTGCCAACTTTATTTTTAGACCAATCGATAGTATTGTTTAGACCAATACATTTCAGTTAAAATTTTTTATCTAGCATAAAAATTGTGGGCGTTACAGGGTTTCGCGGTTTGTGGGCGTTAGAGTGGGCGTGGCATATTCGAGTAACAAACTTGCGCTGCGTATAAGGCTACGGAATCTAAATCTGAAATCCCAATTCTCTATCTTTGATAGTTTCCGAGATATCCACGTTCATATTTACGATTTTTTGAAGTTTGTCGGCGGTTTATGGGCGTTAGGGTGGGCGTGGCAAACTTTTTTTTGGATCAATCGATAGGTATTGATGAGAACACTACATTTCAGTTAAAATTTTTATTCTAGCATCAAAACTGTAGGAGCCACGGTTTTGGGCGGTTTGTGGGCGTTAGAGTGGGCGTGGCACTCTACTGAAACAAACTTGCGCTCAGGAATCTGCACGCCAAATCTCAATAGCCTAGCTCCCATAGTTTCCGAGATCTCAGCGTTCATCCGGACAGACAGACGGACATGGCTAGATCGACTCGGCTAGTGATTCTGATCAAGAATATATATACTTTATGGGGTCGGAAACGCTTCGTTCTGCCTGTTACATACTTTCCGACGAATCTAGTATACCCTTTTACTCTAAGAGTAACGGGTATACAAATTTTATATTGTATTACCATTGTGCTGCGAAATCCAAATTGGTAAAAATTCAAATTATATATACCAACTTTATTTTGATAACTACACTGGCCAAGATAAAACTGTTTATTACGACCCAAAATCAGAAACGTTCCATCACGCCACAATTTTAAGAAAAAACTTAGATTTGATAAGCATTTCTAAAACTTAATGCTATCAATGTATTTGAACTCTTTCAGGCATAACAAATCTGTTCTTCTAGTTTCAAATTCTGTATTTCAAGCTTTACTTAATTTCTTCTAGGACGTGCTCTACAGGCCCCGGAACGTAATCCAAAAAAAACCCAGCAGGAAAGTTGAACTGGAAGTACAGCAATCTACGATCGAAGTTTCTGAAGCGCTCGTGTATAATTAAATCAACCAAAATGTACAATTTTTTTAACGGGGATCACATTTAATTAAAATTAAAGATGTATTTCAATGAAAATTGATATCTGTTCGCTTAAGATATGCGAATTGTTTGCTGCAAATAAAAGTATGCTGAGTTTTAAGTCTAGCTTTAATCATTTTAATTATAAAAACAATCCAAATTATATATTCAATTTACTGGAACTAAATATGAAAATAATTTTAAAAAATATGAGAATATAACACTTTTTACTATTCAACATATTTAATTGAATTACTTTTTATTATCGTTGAATTTACTATGAGTTTATTCAAAAATAATTAACTATGCAGCGTGTTTACTTTTAACATTTTCATGTTAGGATCTAAATCGCTGGGAAAATTAGTTGAAACGGTGGCGAGATAGTGACATTTATGATGTTTTTTCTACCAGTGTACAGTCCTACAATTAAAAGGATTGGCCACCTGTCTGTTATTTTAGCCACCATTGAACAGCAGCTGAAAGTTTGTACCACAGCTCAGTACTCGAGACATTGGCCGTGGTAGAGATGCTCCAAAGATTTCGGGTGTAAATTTTAGGAAAACCATTTCATCTTATAAATGATTGTTCTGCCATTGCCAAAGTCAAAATAAATAAGACACTAACACCTCAAGTAGCTCGTTGGTGGGTCAAGATATTAGACTACGACTGCGAATTTTTTCACCGAGATGGTAGCAAAACCCTTCCTGCAACCCATCGAGATGAAATAGTACGCACGATAATAACGGAAATCGTTGACTGGCTTCTTACTGTGCAACTACAGAATCAAACGCTCGCTGAGATTATCGCCGTCTTAAAGGGTCAACTCCACAAGAATAAATTGAAACAACTTCAAGCTGAATACGCCATAGATAACCACCGCCTGTATCGTAAAGTCGAAAATTAAAAGCTTTCGTTGTACCAAAAGCTGTAAGATGGCGTATAGTACGGACTTGCTTGTGAAGGGCTACATATCATTATGCATTGAATGCTGTTACTACAAATCCAAAAGAGGAAAACTTGAAGGATGTATGCACTACGACGACACCGATTCAATACCCTTTCGTAAATGATCGCTTCGTCATCGAAGATACCCCCGGAATACAGATTACTGGACGCAAACACAATTCTGTGTTCTCCTCCGACAAGATGAAACCGTGGTGTTCTACTATTTTCGAACTGGAACTATCTGAGGTCGAAAATGATCGAATCGAGGACGATCCGAATACAGGATTGGCCAGGCTGTCACCCTCTTACTAAAACTCAACCTGGTGGCATCCGTGATTTGGATGGCTATGTTGCGCTGACCAATGATCGTTTTATGAAACTGTTTGATAAACTTATAAGCGTAGTTGCTGATTTCAAAGAGTTTAAGGCGGACCTTGATAGTAAAAAAATGTCAGTAGGGTCACCTAAAAGCAAAAAGACCGCTTCTTCAAAATCTGTTGAAGTAAAGGCATCTGTTCCAAATCCCAACTTAGTTTCAAATATTTTACCGATCGGTAACGGCAGCTATGTCGGCATCCGCTGGCGCTGGGGGGCAAAAGCTTCACTTCCGGCAGTACCCATAGGTAGCGAAAGCTCTGGAGAAGTCCCTGGTTCTGCTAGTCATCCTAAGGGGTCAAACCCTACGGAGCTTTCTCTGCCTACAGGTGAAGTTAGCTCTATAGGAGTCCCTGGTCTCGATAATCCGACGAACGATGTTCAGATTGTTGGTGGCCGAAAATAGAGACTGTCGGTTGTTCCATATAGGAAGCAATTATTTGTGTCTCGTTTAACTCCTGAAACCACATCTGCAGATGTTTTGGATTTTATACACCAAGATTTCCCAACGCAAAACATCACATCGTTTAACCCCTAAAACCACATCTGCAGATGTTTTGGAATCTATACACCAAGAATTCCCATCGCAAAACATCACAGTGGAGCAGTTTAAATTTCTATATGTTCGTAGGATATCTTTCTATAGGGGTACGTTAACGTTTATGAGTTACTTCCTTTAGAAAACTTCTCTGGACCGAAAATACTCAGTTATCGATTTAGGTTTTCTCCTGTATCCAAAACATAAAGTTTTCTCCCCCTTAACCTCTACTGCTAATAAAGCTATGAGTGTTTTTGGGTTTATAAAGCGTAGGTCTGAAGAACTTGATTATCCCTACACTACCGTCCTAATTTAGAATACTGTTCTTTGGTTTGGAGTCCACCGTATCAACTGCACATTGACGTATAGAGTCCGTACAGAAACAATTTCTTCTTTTTGTCTTTTTTCGTCAGGTGGCCTTCTTACTCGAGTAAACTGCTATTGATTAATTTGCCTACTATAGTAAATCGCAGAATTATGCTTTGTACTATTTTCATGCATAATTTTATCTGAAATAAATTTGGTAAGCCGCTTAACCTTGAATGTTCCTGTTAGACTAATGCGAAACTACTCTCCTATAAACTTGCCACGATGTACATATAATTTTAGTCAGCACGAGCTCCTTCGCGTTCTTTCTAATAATTATAACACCCAATATCAATTAATTTGTTCCCCAACTTTTATCCCAGTATTTGCTTCATTTGCTTCAGTCCTAGATGATCTATTTTTATACCCTTTCAGAGTGTATTATGATTTCGGTCAGAAGTTTGCAACGTAGTGAAGGAGACGTTTCCGACCCCATAAAGTATATATATTCTTGATCAGCATCACTAGACGAGTCGATGTAGCCATGTCCGTCTGTCCGTCCGCTTCTACGCAAACTAGTCTCTCAGTTTTAAAGCTATCGGGCTGAAACTTTCCCAAAAGTCTTATTTCTTTTGCAGGTAGTATATAAGTCGGAACCAGCCGAATCGGACAACTATATCTTATAATTCCCATAGGAATAATTGGAAAAAAAAACTTTAAAACAAGGAAGAACGCTATAGTCGAGTACCTCGACTATCAGATACCCGTTACTCAGCTAAAGGGACCAAAGGGAAATGGAGATATGCAAGCAGCAAAGCAAGATTGAAATGCGCCACCTAACGGCGGTAGACAGATTTAAGCGTTATGGGCGTTAGAGTGGGCGTGGAAAATTTTTTTTGGATCAATCGATAGGTATTGACCAATACATTTCAGTTAAAATTTTTTATCTAGCACGAAAATTGTGGGCGTCACAGGCTTGGGCGGTTTGTGGGCGTTAAAGTGGGCGTGGCACACTTTTTTTTTGGTCAATCTATGGGTTTTGATGAGAACAATACATTTCAGTTAAAATTTTTGTTCTTGCATCAAAACTGTAGGAGCCACAGTTTTGGGCGGTTTGTGGGCGTAAGAGTGGGCGTGGCACATTGCTGAAACAAACTTGCGCTGCGTAAGAAGCTCAGGAATCTGCACGCCAAATCTCAACAGCCTAGCTCCCATAGTTTCCGAGATCTCAGCGTTCATCCGGACGGACAGACAGACGTACAGACGGACAGACGGACATGGCTAGATCGACTCGGCTAGTGATCCTGATCAGGAATATATATACTTTATGGGGTCGGAAACGCTTCCTTCTGCCTGTTACATACTTTCCGACGAATATAGTATACCCTTTTACTCTACGAGTAACGGGTATAAAAATTATATCTTTGGTGTTTTTTAACATATAACATCCTTCGCTTGGAAATAACATTTTTTAATTAGTTTGAAATTTCGAAGTAGGTTTTATCAAAATCGGACGACTATATCATATATAGGAACGATCGGAAATTGGTGCGAAAATAATATGAAGCAAATTATATTTTTGACATATTACCTTATACTATTGGGAATATCATTGTTTGTATTTTTAAGAGTTTCGAACTAAATTTAATAATTATAACTGCAAAGGTGTACAAACTTCGGCTTACCGAAATTAACTTATTTTCTTGTTTGTCCTGTCCTTATATGTTCAATATACCTTCCTCGCGAACCGTATTTGCCCGAAATACATTTTAAAGGATTCTGCATAGTCGGTCCATGCATCATTTAGGGATTCAGGAACCTTTTAGTGCCAACTAAGGTTGAGGATCCAAACTTTTTGGAGAATCATTTTTGCAAAGATGATAATTGGTGACAAAAGGTCAAAGAGTGATGATGCGATGGACAAGATGAATCTCTTTGTAGCTGACTAAGTTGGCTGATTCGAGTCGAAGGTTAACAAAAATTCATCCTTCAGTTGATTCCAGGTGACAACGAGTTGAATCTTGATGTTGTCCTCACAGATGTTGAGTCTCTTTGTGGGTGTGGAATCAGTGAATTCTGGATCGCTGGAGTGCCACTTGGTCAATGGGAAGTTCCCTCTTGAATAACTTCGATGACTCCTTGTTTGATGAATTCCAAATTGTGTACGTCGTTAAATAAAAAAATATTGTTGCCCAATATTAATAACTCGCCCAATTTGAAAGATATCGGGATGAAACTTTATTAATCGTTTTGTACTTTTAGGCAACATGTATACGAAAATGGATTGGATCGAACAAATATATCCTATAGCTGCCATAATTTTTAGATAATAGATTAGTAGATTAGTAGTTTAAACGTTGATAATACTAAATTTAAAATGGTGTCGAAATTTGATAATAATATATTATAGTTTCTATTGGAACAATCTGCGACTTTAGGTGCCCGCCAAGCTGTACATATTTGTTTTATACTTTCTAAAGTAAAATAGCTTTGTTCTAAACAGTTTTAATAAGAACTAAATTAATAATTTATGTTATAGGACCTTTCATAACAAACTGAAAAGTATTTCATTCCACAAGTCTGCAAAGTAAATGTATTTAAAGTTAATTAAACATATTTTATTTAGAAGTATAACAGACGGATTTGCTATGAAACTTCATGCTCTTCGGATTCCAGTTCAATATTACATAAAAAATCAAAAAGATTCTCAACTAAAGCCAAACTACTATCGCCCTCCCATGGGTAATTATTACTATTGGTAGAACTAGATAAGAACTCTATGACTTCAGTAAAAAACACATTCGCTTTTGTCTTTGAATTTAAAATAGCAAACTCTTCTGCTTCTCGCGCCCAAAGACTTTTCACATTTCTCTAGGTTAGTATTATCTATTTTGGCTTTAAAAAATAGCTAGAATAGCCTCTTCTTAAGCCTTCTTGGTTGCATTTTCTTTCCATATAGAAAACAACTCAAAGTTGCAAAACTTGAGGTTATGTACTAAAAAATTTAATTTAAGAAAAAATGGCAA